TGATTAATAAAATCCTTCTTCACAACATCAACAGAAGGGACATTCACTCCCCTATTAATATGATTTTTATCTGTAACCAGATCCCTCCTACATCTTATTGAATTCTTCAAACCACCCTTACCATAGTTGACATATATCTAAGGAACATATCCATATTTCAGATTATTTGAACCAACAGCTTCAACTTCCAATTATAACAACCAGCAAGAACACCCATATTGGTCGCAAGATGTTCTATCAAATTTGATCCAAGAACCTGCTCTTTCACAGCAAATGAAGCTTTACACCTATTACTTAAGTGTCAAATTTTCCAACAGTTATAATAAAAATTTGAAATTCTTTCATACTCAATCTTTTGAAATAATCTACCATAACTCCCTTCAACCCACACACCCAAAGGAAGTTGATTGTCGAGTAAGATACGAACACAAATTCTTACAAAATCTCTCCTCCCCCACTGGAACATATTACCATCTAATATAAAAGGCTTGCCAACTTGAGATGCAATTCTACAAACATTAAATTCATCTTAATATTGCAATGTTAAATTTGACATTCCAATCCATACCGGAGCTGATAACCCCTTCTAGTATGTTGGTTAAAAATAAGGTGACCATTTATCAATGACAATGATGTGTCCACTAACATACCATGGTCCTTTATCTAAAATTGAATCAACCGCCTCTGACTCAGTAAAAGCACAGAGAACCCATCCCAAACCCAACATAGTTTGGTGGAATTTACCAAACCAACTCCATTGCCTTCTTAATTTAATGCTAATCACATGGAAAGGGATGTTATCAACAAATACTTTCACAACAAGAGCATTTTGTAACATCTTAGTATTTTCCTTTTCATTATCTTCAGTCATCTTCACGGCTATACCATCACCAGTTAAGCAATTCCCATAATCCAGATTACCAATCATTATATTAGTCCTTTTAATCCAAACATTATGCATACCATTACCACTTGGGTCCTGCGAAGTAGGCACAAATATTATTTTGGTTTCTTTATCAACCAAGTTAAGTTCTCCCTAAACACAATTACGAACTACATTACGATCATCTTTATTCTGAACATCGTCGGTAAGAACACCACCACTTATCACCGACTTACTTATAAACGAACCATTCTCATCACATTTATGTTAAGAGAGTTGTTACTTAGATTTTGGATGTTTTACATTCTTGTAACTTGTATAGTTTTAATAATTCCAAATATTATTGTTCTAATTATTATTTTCTCCTAACACTTTTTGGAAGAATTATTTTTGCTCTTGTATGGACTAACATTTCAAGATAATCAAACTCCAGACTAATGAATACTTCAAATCAAATTCAGCATAAGATAATTTGTGAATTAAAGTCTATATTTTTCAATTTATTAAGTTTGAGAGAGTGTGATTGTAATTGAGTAACTTAGCACACACGCACTGGGGGAGATCATTAAAAATCAAAATGTCTTATACTGATCGTACAGGACGAACCATATTCGTATGGGATGATCAGGTCAGTTATACCTTTCGGAGAGTAATGGAATAAACATGAGTGAGAAAAATTTTCTAAGTCCTGATCGTCTAGACGAATTTACCTATTCGTCCCTGGACGATGCCCTCTGAATTCTCACTTTGAACTGCTCTTCGACACAAAGTGTACCATTCATCCATGGACGATGTCCTCTAGTTTCTCACTTTATACTGATCGTCCAGATGAAGTGTACCATTCATCCCAGGATGATGTCCTCTTGAACCATGTCTTGAATGGATCGTCCAGACGATTCACCCTGTTTGTCCTAGGACGATGTCCTCTGGACCCATGAATTGAACTAATTGTCCAGACGATTCACCCCATTTAACCCAGGATGATGTCCTCTGGACCTATGACTTGATCTAATCATCCAGAACTCCTATATTCATCCTAGGATGAAGTCCTCTATTCCTTAAAAATTTGGACCGTCTTGCAATTTCGTCCAAATGAACCCTTGATATAACTATTCGTACCGGACAAACTTAGTTTGTACGGGATGATGATCAGGTATGAAGTCATTTCGTACAAATGTATATTGGGTTCATACACGATAGTTTTTGCACTGTTCGTACGGACAAAATCATGATCGTACGGGATGATCGAGTGCATACAGAATTGAAAATTAGCAATTTTTTGATGGGTTTTTATATCTTTGCTATATAAGGTCCACTTAAAACTGTATTGTAATCTTTTTGTTCATTGGTCTTCATGAAAATTGAAGGGAGATTGAAGGAGAGAGTGTGAGAGAGTGTTTGAAGGAGAATTCTTATTATAAGAGCATGAAGGATTCACTTGGTACTCAAAGGTAAGAATCTCCAATTGTGATTTGTGATTACTTCACTTTTTTCTCTCGTCCTTCTATATTTCTCGTGAGAAGATCTTTCAAGGAGATCCAGTTCTCTGCCGACACTCGTGCAGTATGAACAGCGGGAGGTTCTCTGTCTACACTTGGAGAGTGTAAACAGATGAAAGGTTCTTTGCATATACTTAAAGAGTGTGAAAGGATGAAGGGTTCTCTGCCTACAATTGGAGAGTGTGAAAGGATAGACGGTTCTCTGCCAACACTTGGAGAGTGTAAAAGGACGAAGGGTTCTCTGCCTACTCTTAGAGAGTGTGGTGAAAGAGAGTTTTTGTGAAGGCTTCTCTGCCTAGCTGTGGGTGCAAAAGGAGAGTCACTAGTGGTATTAGTGCAATACTCGGAGGTTGCCACCGGGGAGTGGATGTACGTCGTGTTTGACCGAACCACTATAAATCTTATGTCTTTTTATTTTCTGATGCTTTTCTTTTTTACTTTACTATTTCTATTGATCCGTGGTTGAAAAATCTTTTTATAAAAATTCATTAAAATTTTTTATCTGTTAAAAAATTAAAGAGAAAAAATTTTTAATTACCAATTCACCCCCCTCTTGGTTAGCAGCTTGGATATAAGCTTATGTCTAACAACCTAATTCATATTGAATAAGTTTCAACAATTTTCAAAGAACATCAACAAGAATACTAGAATTTACATTACTCACGATTTGTGAATTTCAATTTCAACATTTGTGGCCAAGCACCCAAACCTATTGACTTGAATTTTCCAACCAACATAAGATGTGGAACATGAATCAAAATAAAGCCCACTTTCTATCTTCCCAAAAGGTAGAAAGTCTAAAACTTTTGGGCATTTAAAATCATTATCAACAATCACTTCTTTACTTTTTCCCATTGTGGGGATAGTCTTCTTAACCACAGGTAAGCCTCCTTCATTGATAACAAGAGGTTTTGCCTTATAGAAGCTTTTGCAGACATTCCTTCTAGAGGATCGTCTATAATTTCCACTGAAACCATTCGTAACAGAGTGGATTCCTATCTTCGAATTTGAACGAGGAAAGACCTTAAGGCCATTAATCTGAGGTTGGAGATCCCCTGTAGATAATCGCTGAGAACCTTTGGTGGATGAACAATGTTCATCCGTTGCCATAAAAACAACGAATATGGAGGGAAGAACATATTTGAAATTGCGCTCTCTCACTAGAAACATGGACATTCTCTCACTAGAAACACTAGAAATGCTCTTGTCAATAATTAAAGCATATTGGGATTTTGATTCAAGATGTTTCGGTAATATACGCAAGTCATCAACCATACTTCAAATCTTCAGCCACCAACAACATGAGTGCACTACAAATCAAATAAAAGGATTGGGGAGAGATGAATCAAACATTGAATGGGATGATCATTGGATAGTTGTTATGAGAACATTGAAAATGAAAAAGAAACAGGAATGGATTGAAAAACTTCTAACAAAATTATTTAACTTTATTTTGTAATAAATTTTTTTTAGGTTAATCCAAAATTAGTAAATATCACATATGTTAGACTGGATTCTAAGAGAGGAGGCATAATAGTTGAGCAAAATTGTTTCCTTCGTGACATTGTAGAATAACACATTTTGGTTGATGGGCCCTTAAGTTAAGCAATGGGACCCCCAACTTAGGCCATGGTTCTATTCTAGTATAAATGATAATTATTTATGAGTGAAAAAAAAAACATAAGCAATTACAAAGCATATAATTCAAATCTTAATTGTTAAAAAAAGCAAAATTTTAAAATAGAGCGGGTTTAAAATTTAAATTAGTATAAGGAGTGAAATCGAGGAATGATTTTAAAAAAGAGAAGATTTGTCAAAATATTTGGCGCACTTTAAATGCCCAAATGATATGTCACATTCTTCTTGAGAGAGAAAGAGAGATGAGAGAGAGTAGGAAAGAGAGGCAGCGAGAGATGGGGGGAGAGAGAAATATGAAGAGAGAGAGAGAGAGAGAGAGAGAGAGAGAGAGAGAGAGAGAGAGGGGGGGAAATTTAAATATATATAAGTTCTATGACATAGATGTAAATCTTTCAATTCTTAAAGGGATTTCAATAAAATCAAGATTTTAATTTATTGTGCAGATATTGATTATAAACTCGATTATTGATGAAAAAAAAGAACTCAGCCGTTAAACCTTTGGAAAATCCGAATGAAATTATTTCCTGTCTAAATTAAAATTTTAAATTTCTAAAAATAATTTTTGTGCAAATCAAATATACTCCCAACTTTATCTTCACAAGTATGCTAATTCCCTGCATATGTATTAATTTAATAAAAAATAAATTAAAAATTTTATGTATAAGTATTTATTTTAATTAATCATTTAATAAATTAAATTACTAATACTTAAAGTAATATTTAACTAGTAATATGTAAATAATATTATATAAAAAATTATTTTAATAATAATTAAAAATTACCCTTCTCTCGTACTCTCACCGATCTTTTTCTTAAATTGAATACATTAAATATTTTGACGAATCTGCTCCCCTTTTTAAATTATTTCCCAGTTAGACTCTTTATATTAATTTAAACTTTAAATCGTCTCCAATTTAAAATTTATCTTTAAAAAATAATTAAAAATAATTATTCTGAACTAACAATTGATCTTAGAAACCTCCTCACTCCCCTCCACTTTCACTTCTAAATCACTCAACCACGACAACTTTTTCCGCGCTGCTTCGCTGCCATCTTTTCTCCGATGCGGCGTCTCCATCTGACGCAATGCTTCCTCTCTTATTGATCTGATTTGCCATAGAAAGGCAGGAGCAAGCGGGCGACAGGAAATGGAGAGTGACCAGCGGGAGTCGGTGGAGTTGAGAGCGCTCCAATCGCTAGGTCTAGGGTTTGATCTCACGTCTGATTTCCGCATAAGGTTTGCCAAAGGGTACCCTGACCGGCGGTTGGTGAAGCTCGACGAGGTGAATACTGGCGACCTCGTCTTCCCTGGAGGTTTCACTGTTCGTGGGGTGTCTAGAGATATCGGGTGTGATAAGGGAGATCGGATTCGGTTTTGTTCCGATGTACTGGAGTTTAATCAGGTTTGGCCCATCGGTCCTATTCTCCCTATTTCATTTTCGCGCGTTCTGTCTAAGAGCGTGCTCCTCCATTAAGTTTACATTGGTGAATTGCAAGTTAACTATTAGAAGTTTCCATGATTAGATTTCTTAGAGAAACCGATGAATGAAATAAGGTGGTAGTTTTTTTCAAGGATTTTCTGAAAAGATTAAAGGTGCATGATGTTCTTTGCCCAAAAAAACAGATGTTCTCAAGGGCTATTTTATTCTATAGTAGGGATGTGGAGTGAGTGAGATATGCCCTTGGAGGGCAAATTTGCGGAACATAAATTCAGGATCCTTGAACTCTGGCTTTTGATAATCGCATTGTTTCTTATTTTTGTTCATCGTTGTCTACTTTCTGTTGGAAATAAAGTTGAAGCTTTTTTTGATGAGTTGAGTTTGTTTCTTTCTATTGTTCTTTTTCCTTGTATTTGGAAGCAATAGAAATTTAAGTGTTCTTTGGTGCGGTGAGTTGTATTTTGGAAAGGTAGTTGCATACGCTATCTTCAGGTTATATTTGAGGCAGCCTACACATTTGCTTTAGGCCTGGACTCATACTTTGACCTACTAGGTATTGAAAAATGCTTATTTATGGCAAGAAAGCAACTTTGGACGAACTTGTAGGCTTGCACTTTTGTTGCTCATGTTTTTTTTGGTGAATTGTTCCTTTGATGGAACTCTAGTCAGAATTGTTGTAGGCTATGGTATGATGTTCTTGTAGTTTGATGGAGCCTATGCCCTTGCAGATTTTTTGTTTTTGAGATATTAATTAATAATCATTTAGCCAGTGTCTCTTGTTTTGTGATTATTATGCTTGTTTATATTTTTTAATTTTTTATTTTAAGCTTCTTGCTTATTATTGAGTGCTTGTAAGAATTTTATGAAGTTATTTTGATACTTTTAGATTACAAATGCTTTATTGGAAGGAAATTGAGCTCAAATTTTTATGGTGCGGCTTATTATATAACTCTTAAGGATTATTATTATTAAATGCTTTATTTTTAATTTTTTAAAAATAGATTAGTGGTTTAATTTTGAGGCTTATGCCTTGCCACTCGAAAAGAAAATCCCTCAATATTCGAGTGGATCATTTAAATCTTACTATGAACTTTAGAGTAGGTTTCTAAACTTTGTGTTTTGTCTTTCAGGACAAATCAGATTATTATTTATCTATATTTTAAAGAAAGGCTGTAGACTATTACCCAATTTTAACTTATTTTACCAAGAATTGGGTTCTAAACCTAGAAGATTGATGTCAATTCTTTTGTCTCTATATGGATCTAAGTCATCTACTTGTGACTATTTATTCCAATATTTGCACAAAGAAAATATACTTGACTAACGCTACCTTGATTACTGTTCTTATGGCAGTTTAGTATATATCTTGACTATATAATTTTATCTATTTTAACTTATTTAATTTTAATCGTCCCTTGTTTAACTGTCACAAGGACTTTGAATCATGCTTTTTTTTTTTGTCCCATAACAGATGTCTGAATTGTTTAATCAGAAATCTTCGATCCAAGGAAAAGTACCTTCGGGTTACTTCAATGCTCTATTTGATTTAGGTGGAGCATGGTTTGATGACGCCAAGGAAACTAAAAACCTTGCTCTTAATGGCTACTTCATTTCCTTATTCAATTTGCATTTAAGGGCATCTCCATTGGTTTTGTGCAATGAAGTAAAGAGGGCCGTTCCATCCAACTGGGAACCTGAGGCACTTTCCAGGTAAAGATTTCATATTTTTCTATCAACTCATTGTGCATATAATGTAATAGCTTTCATATTCTATCACCATATAAGGATTGTGAACTTTTCTTTCATATCAGATTAGAGTTTGCAAATCCTTTGTCTCTATGTATTTAATAATTTGACCATTATATATAATATTATTTAGTTCAAAACTTTTGTTTAGCCATTTTGCTAAGCTTATGATTTAAACTAATAATCTTTGTTAAATCCATAATGAATCCTATGCCATCTTAAACGAGAAAAAATGTTTTAATAATTGAACCGTATATATATAAATCAATCTCTATTTTGAAAATTTAAAAGGTTTAGATGTAGTTTAGCCATTTTGCTAAGCTTATGAAACTTTTGTTTAGCCATTTTGCTAAGCTTATGAAAACATTCCAATAAGCATTCCTTGAATTCCCTCCAACTCTGTATGGGTTTTCTCTTATCCCTTCATTGATATCAGGACAACACATTCCCCTCCAAACATAAACCTGCTGCTGTCAACTTTTCCTCCTCCGTCAGCCCCTTGACGGTGAAATACCTCTTCACCTTGTAGATCCACCCGTGTGCGTCCTCTTAAAAAATAGGCATATTTAGCTTTCTCACCTTCGGATCTCTCCCGTTTCCCCGTATTCCTCCATAATTTCCCCTTTCCCAAGTGCTTAGTTATCCCCAAGTCTCCCGATCTTCCCTTACATGCTCATCTTCAAACCCCTCTTCACTCTCTCCCTTACTTTCTCCAAAATCAGCACCCCTCCTACCATAAGTTCCCTCTTTTTTCTCTTAACCAACACCCCTTGCTTTTGACTATGCCTCTCTTCATACCTTCTCCCTTTCTCCTCCATGATATCCACATCATTTTCCCTCCTACGAAATTCAGAATTCGTAGTTCTTCCCACCAGCCCCTTTGTCTTTGATACCGCTGTTTTAATTTGATTTTTCAATAGCTTCTTCACCATTTGCATGAAGATCGGAAATTTTGTCAAACCTTGTCTTTTATGGATGAAATTTGATCTTCCACCATTACTTTCATTTGACTCGTCTCCCTTTCAAGGCGTTCCTCCAGCATATCTACCTTCTTGGCTGCCATCAATACCTAGAATTTTTGTAGGTTAAAAAATCTCGATATTGATACAAAATTCAGCAAGAAACCCTTCCTCCGGACAAAGAATTGCTGCTGAAATTTCAGAAAAACAACCCACAACGATCTCAGAATCTGCTATGACCAATTTGATAGGAAATACTTGAATATTTCAAGTAAATCCTAACAAGATTGACGAAAACAGCGGGAAAACACCACAAATCTAATTGAAAACAAGCAAAAATAGTAGTTTTTACTGTAGAAAGAAAACCAACGAAAGAAATAAAGTAAGATAAAATTGATCCTCAATTCGAAAGGAGGATCGTTCTCTCCCATTCCCAAGACGAATCTAGAGCCCAAGACATCAAGAACAAGGACTCCAAAATCTGCCACAAAACAATGCATAACCCTAACCCTAAACATTTCCTCCTATTTAATACATAAATTCAAATACTTCATTCAAACTTTCACTCCAACCCTTGTCGCCCCCTCTTTATTGATTTTCCTAGTGGGGTCCTCTAGGGGCTTGGGCGGCAATCCCTAGGGGGCGGACTTGGCTGGGTCCGCCTCCTGTATGTAAGAACCGGCCCAATGCTTTAGGCCGGCTGGGCCGGTTCAGTAGAAACCGTCCTAACAGTTGGTCTATGAAAGAGAAAACAATGCGAATTGGATGCATATATGACAATCATATTCATGTCATTGAAGTTATATATAAGATCCTTAAGTACATGTATCAATAGAGAGCATTGACAAGATGTATCAAGGGAAAGTTTCAACAAAGAGGAGCATGATTGGTCTGTGAAATAGAGAGCATTGAAGCTATCCGAAGAGTGTTGATGAAGAATATTAATAGAGAACATGAACAAAAAGGCATCAATGTAAAGTGTAAACAAAGACTATTGATGGTTTCAATGGAGAATATTGGTAGATTGTAGAGAGCAGGGAAGGTAAGGACATGATACCCATTAGATAGAGCAAAAAGAATGATGATGATTATGCAATACAATAATGTTAGGATGGTTGGAGGTGGTAGCTAGGAAATACCATTAATAGGAAAGCAAAAAGATACAGTGCCTGGCTTGATGGAGGATGTTTGGCTTCATCAAGATATCGATGTTGTGGATGCCACAGTGGTCATTAATAAAATTATCCCATGTCTTGGGTGAACATCTAATAGGTACTTGATAGGAAACACTTGTAGATCTCAAGTATTTCCTATCAATCTTCGGAAAATAGTGAGAATTCTCCACAAAAATTCACACAAAATCACAAAAACAGTAGATAATTTGAATTATTTGATAAAAGGGAAATGTATAATAGCAAGATACAATTGATCCTCTATTCGAGAGGAGGATCGATCTCTACCAAATCTCTAGACGTCGCTAAAGCCCAAAAGAAAACCTAAATCTAAGAGATCTCAAATTTCAGCCAAATTTAAGATGCCCTAACCCTAGGAAAACAAACTATTTAATACATACAAATCAAAGGGAAATCCCTAAACAGTCCCTACATTCAAATTTCTTTCCTAAATCCCTCAAAGAACCTTCTTAAATTGCTCCGCTTGGGCGTTTGGATCGCTTGATCTCCGCAGGAGGCGGAGATCCCGCCTTTGTTGCGCTGGGCTAGTCCCATGCGGATTGGCTGGACCGGTCCAATGGACCGATCTAACAATACTCCCCTCCCAAAGATCATCCTTGTTCGCAAGGTGGAAAGATGATACCCTCCTCCATTTCTTCTTCATCACAAACGGTAAGAAGCTGAAAAGTTCGATCCTTACACCTGTGTCCCGGCGTATACATCTCGTCACATCTGAAACAGAGTCCCTTCGCCCTCTTCTCCCATAATTTTTCCTATGTAAGCTTCTTGAAGTTGTCTCTAGGTCTTCCTCTGGTAGTCTTCTCCTTCGAAGTTTCCCTAAGAGTATCCGGTGTTGGCTCCTTGGGTGCCAAAATGGTGGTGGTCATCTTGTATGAGTTTACTGAGCTGCTGCCCCCAGTTTCTCTCTCCAGGTGCCTCTGATCCTCCACCAACTGAGCTAGATCCTTAGCCTCTCCCAAGTCACGAGGTCTCATTACTTTAAATGCTGCTCGAATCTTTGGTGTCAGTCCCTTCATGAAATTTTCCTCTAGCACTGTCTCAGAAAGGCAGTCCAATCGGCTAGCAAGGTACTCGAATCTCTCCCGGAACTTCGTCACTGAACCATCCTGTGTCAAGGCGAAGAACTGCTCGTAGAAGTTTCCTCCACTGCCAGTTCGAAAACGTTATACCCAACAATTCTTGAACTCTCTCCAACTCCGTATGGGTCGTCACATGTCCCTCCACTAATACCAAGACAAAGCCTTTCCTTCCAAACATAGACCTGCCGTCGTCAATCTCTCCTCCTTTTTCAACCCATTGACGGCGAAATATCTTTCTACCTTGTAGATCCACCCGTGTGCATGCTCCTCCTCAAAGATTGGCATCTTCAGTTTCCTCACCCTCTAGTCACATCCGTTTCCCCTAAATTCTCCATAACCCCCCCATTCCTCGAAGAGGAGGTGCTTCCCAGTTGCCACGATCTTCTCTTCGGTGATCATACCCAAACACTTAATCAAAATCTCCTATTATTTATTCAAAATCAGCACCCTGACGATCGAAATCATCCCCTCTCCTTACAGATTCAGCACCCATTCTTTCGTATCCAATGCTCATCTCCCTAGAAAGTGGTTATAGAGGAGACATTCCGTATTCTCCCTCTAAGATCTCCACTTATGGATTTTCCCTTTCCCCTAAACGTGTTAGGGTTCTCATCTCTTCCATGGTTGCCAGTAGTTTCCTTTGCTTCTGATGTCACCGATTTGGTTTTGGCTTCAAGCAATTTCCTCAACATGTCTTCAACCACGACGAACTTTTTCTCTATCCTTTCATTGATGGATGCAATTTGATTTTGAAAATCAGTATTCTTCTACACAAAATTTGCTTTGAGTTGTCCTATTTCTCCCTCCAAAACTTTCAGTTTCCTTCCGGCCATTGGTTCCCCTTTGGTCGACGTGCTCTGATACCAATTTGATAGGAAACACTTGTAGATCTCAACTTCTTCCTATCAATCTTCGGAAAACAACGAGCTTTCTCCACAAAAATCAGCACAAAACCACGTAAACAGTAGACAATTTGTATTATTTGATAAAATAGAAACGAAAAATAGCAAGATACAGTTGATCCTTAATTCGAGAGGAGGATCGATCTCTCCCAAATCTCTAGACGCAGCTAGAGCCCAAATGAAAACCTAAATATAAGAGATCTCAAATTTCAGCCAAATTCTAGATGCCTTACCTCTAGGAAAACAAACTATTTAAGCATACAAATCAAAAGGAAGTCTCTAAACAGCCTACACACGCTGTGCATTCGTTCGGTGCCTACATGAGGCGGAGATCCCGTCTCTGTTGTGCTGGGCCGGTCCCGTGCGGACCGGCTGGACCGGTCCAATCGACTGGTCGGACCGGTCCAATCGACCGGTCTAATAGTAATACAACTGAGAAGTCCATGAAGATGTTAAGCAATTCCTAAGGAGGAAGTTGGTGAAACCTAGGGCAAGAGGAAGGCGACGATGAATATATAATTGAAGGTACCTTGGGGAGATTGTGCCTACTGAGTGAGATAGAGCAAATTTGCAAACCCATGACATAGCATATGACCAAATAGATCACAAGCGGGCTAAGAGGATCGGTGAGCATGATGGATCATTGCACATGTGTAGGCTGGTCGTAATTAATTGTTTGCAACAGAAGAGGTTTGATACAATGGAGGCATGAGAGGGATCACAAGCGAGCAATATGAGAATGGAAAGAATGTGAGATGTGTTGTAGAACCTATGTGAGCACGGTTTTAATGATGGATTTGGGTGATTGTAGTCATGTATATGGGAAGCGAG